ACAAAAACAAAACAAAGCACCCTACTGAGAACCCTGTGGCTGAACCAATTCTAATCATTGAAACCTCATACTTTCAAATGTATTCAACAAATTCCCAGATGATGTAGAGACAGAAGGCAGTGCAAACCAGAAAATAGGCTGTGTGAGGCATGGAGAAACAGCTGCTTTCTGAAAACTTGGAGGTAGCTGAATGTGAGAAGTTGCACTGAGAGGAAGCCAGAGCCTCTCGAGCAAACCTTGGCTGAACAACAAATGCTGATTTCCATTTATTTCTTTTTGCTCTGCCCCTCTGACTTTCAGCCTGGACTAGTAAGGAGAATCAGTCAGTAACTAAATCAGCTTGTGGTTCAGTTCTCCCTCTCAGGAACGGCTTTTTGAAATACTGGAATTCAGTCACATTTGCTCACACAGAAGCTGTCTAACTTTTGTCCTTCCTTCTGCAAAAGTAATTAATTGGTTTGTGCCTCTTCAGCAACACTGGCAGTGGTCTGTGAGGGGCTCGCTGCTCTGCTCCAGGTCAGAGCGCTCCCCAGCAATCGAAAGCAAGAGGAGCAATTCTCTTGTAACGGTAGCTTCAGAGCGTCTGTGCGGTAGAAAAGCTTTTGGCCTCAGCTTGCATTTTCTTTGAGCTAGTCACAGGCTAACTTGTTCCTAAATCTGTTCCTAATTAACAGATGTTTCACACAGAAGACTATGAGCTTCTCGTACTCCAGCATAACTGTTGTCCATTCTGTCGACGAAAAATAGATGAGTCAAACCAATGAAGAAAAACAATCTCATACCTCAACTGACAGACTTCTCTATGGACGTGACAAAACACTTCTTACATTCATAGAGTTTTCCCAACATCTTGATTAAGTCATCTTATTCCATTTTGTACATAAAAGTGGAACTGAGTTGGAGAAATGTAACTTTTTTTTTAAACGAAAATGTCTGCTATTTGTGAATGTGCTCTACGTTTCCCTGGCAAGCAGCTGAAGTGCCACAGATTTTTACAGGAATGCTTCTAGGGTTAAGTTCAGCCTTGAACTTGTGTTAGGACTTGATTTGCTCTTTAATATGCACCTGTTATTGACAGATCTTCAAATAAACGGGACTATTTTTCACTATTTGTCTCGGAATTTGCTCTAATGCTGCTTTTCCTGAACTTGATTTATTTCCCCCCCTGCCCTATTCCATCTGGGCAAGAATAGCCGCCGCCTTCTTCAGCCTCTTGCTGCGAGGCTCTAAATGGTGCAGCTGCTTGGCCAAACGAGGTGGGTCAGTCGTGGGCAGCAGCTCAGCCCCACGCCGTGGTTTGCTCACTCCCCCTGCTCCCTGGGCTGCAGAGCAAATCAGGAGAGCAAAAGCAAAAAAAGCTCACGACTGAGGCAAAGCCAGTTTAACGCGTGGAGCAAAGCTGTGTGTGCAAGCGAAGCGAAGCAGGGAGGGATGTCCTTGCGGTTCCCCGTGGCAGGCGGGTGTCCAGCTGCATCCTGGAGACCAGGGCCTTGGCGTGAGTAACAGCTGCGTGGGAAGGTGAATGCCACAAACACATCCTCCTTCTTTCTGCTCTCTCTGAGCTTTTATTTCTGAGCACGTCCTCAGGTGCGGAATACGCTTTGTTCAGCACTCCCAGCTCTGTCCTCTCCCCACGTGGTGCCCAGCTCTGGCCTGTCGCTGGGGGGAAGAAGAAAAGCTCAGTGCTCTGCAGCGCTGCCCTGCTGTAGCTGCGACCCCAGTGTTTCACCAGCGCTGGTCTAGACACAAATCCAAACGGCAGCACCTCGCAGCTGCTGTGAGGAAAGTTCACCCCAGCGCAGCCAGCCCCAGCTGCTCCCGCGTGGGTGACTCCTCCGAGGACGGGCTCTGGAGAGTTCTCCGGCAGCCGGAGGAGCTGGCTCGGTGACCAGCAGGACTGGTTTGGAGCTGGGAAACAAGAGGTCCCCTGACTTCAACCCAGGATAGATTGTGCCCGTGTTACCATGCGTTCTGTTGCTGCTACGACATCCCGTCTGTCAGAGCCTCCCTTTGCTGTGAGCGGGAAATAATATCCCACTTCACTGCCTTAAGCTCTTGGCTCAGGGGTTGGGGCTGGTGAAGCGGCACTTTGCACGTGGAGCTGGTGATGTCTCCGAGCCCGCTTGGGTTCCTCTTGAAAGTGACACCCTGCAGTGGCACTGTGGGGCTTCCGAGTCCCTCGGTGGTTCCTGACCAAGTTTGCTTAATTTGCCACTTCGAAAACATTCTGTTCTAATTACCACTCATCTGCTTTTTGATTCATCTGTCACTGTTTGCAACGAAGACTTTGCGGCTGACGTGGATAAACAATGCTGTTTGAGATGCGAGCCAGGATGGGATTCGGCTCGTTCTCCCGGAACTGAGCTGGCTTTGCAGAGCTAGTGGGAATAAAAAATTACAAAAATAAATAGATAGGGTTTGCTGTGACACAGAGACAAAACGGATCAAGCAAGGAAGCTTCTTTTTTCTATTTCAACTCCGCGAAGACAGGCTAGGTTTGAAAAGTGTATTGGGTTTTTGGGGGTGAAAAACACACTTGGCACATCTCGTCCTTTGTGAGGATGTTCCAGTTCCAGACTGACTCGTGCCGTTGAAACTCGTGGGTGACTTCACCATCAGGAGCCCCTGGATGTACAAGAAGTCCCACCACGGCTGCTTTGTCTGCGGCTGTCATCCGTGGTTGACCAACTGTTCTCTTTGATTTGCACCGTTCTACCCCGTTGCTGCTTGCCCGTCCCGCTAAGGTACCGCAGCCATGACGCACGCCAGGCCCTAAGCTCCGAGTGGCAGCTGCTGACCTCAGCAGTGGCTTGTTGCATCAGAGCTTAAGGTGCCAGATTTGTGTGCTGGGAGATAAACCTCTAATCCGTCTTTTACACCTGGGTACAAGGATGAAGAGCTGGATTTGTAGTTTGATACTGGCACTGCCCTGGCCTTGGCAACACGTGTGAAAAGTTAATTGAGAAGGACTTGGGATGGGCAGGGGTGTGTGAGGTCGTGGTATTTCCATGTTAACGTCAAGAAAGACCTTTGGGGCTGACCGAAGTGATTGTGGCTTGCCTTTGGCTACAGCCACCCATGTCTTCCTTTGTCCGCGGTGCCAGCCCTTCAGCTCCTTCAGACCTTCCCCACCTAGAGTGAAGGTTTCCCACCTTGGTCTCTCCTTTAAAGAGTACAGCGCTTTGTCCTTTTTCCTTTAAACTTTTTGCATGTTCTAAACTAACCCACAGGGAACACTAAGGGAAAACTAGGCCAGGACTGAAGATAGTTTATTGAGGCCAGGAGGACTTGAGCTTCTGCCCAGTTTGCACCCGTGAGCTCCAGCGGCTCTGGCACATCCTCCTGTGCTGGATGAGGCACTTGCAGATACCCGCTCCGCTCGGCTCCCCGGCTGCAGCCAGAGCAGCAGCGGGAGGTGGGTGCTCACGTCCCCTCCAGCCCCTCTCCCCTGCCAAGGGGCTGAGCAGACAGTCCCTGCAGGTATCTGCCTGCCACCTGGAATGTTAGTGACTGCTGATTAGGTGTTACCCAGGCTAACAAGAAAGGTGGGGAAAAAAGAGAAGAGATGAGGAAAATAGCTCTGGAGCTTGAAAGATTAATCGTGATGGTGTGAACAACTGTAAGGAACCACCTTCTTCAGGAGATCCTCTGCGGTTGGCTTCCTAGTGCTCACTCTGCTGTGCCTGTCGTCCCATTGCCTCTGAAAAATTCAGAGGTGACGTCCAACTCAATGGCTGGTTGGCACAAAGGACATTTCAAGCACAATTGAGTACATCAAGTGGGAAGGCAAAGAGACACAGAGGGCATGGGAGGTTCCAGTGATGGCTTCACCGCTGGGATTCGGTGATTCTGCAAGTTTTCAGGGAGACTGAAGATGCCTGTCAGCCAGCATGTGGAGAGTTGGCTTCAGCTCAGAACCTCCCTCCAGTGCCTGTGTCCAGCAGCTTTCTCAGTAGGAGTGTGGAAGGACAGCTGTGCAGGACAGATGGACTCAGTTAATTATTAGGTGTTATCAACGTAATTGTCATGACCCAAACCACACGCAAAGCCAGGCACAGGGGAGGTGGTACCGCACAGGGCAGATGAAAACCTGCCAGCAGGGTCAGTGACTCACTGTGGTGTTCAGATTTCCCCAGCCAAACCCCGTAGCAAAAAAAGAAGGGGCTGAGAGCACGTGGAAGCAGGGTCGGTGATGCCCGTGCTGTGCTTCTGCAGCCTCCTGCGGGCAGCGGCAGTGATGGTGGGCAGGACTCTCTGGTGGGGACTGGCTGGTGTCACAGACCTGCTTTCCCGTTGTAGGAACAGGCCTGGGACACCCCTGCATCCATCACCGATGGAGCACAGCACACCTGCCCAGCCCAGCCACCCCCTGCAGCCCCCAAACCCACAGTCGCTCGTTTTGGAGCCACAGGTGTCCCTCCTGTTAGCGGGGGGTGGGAAGGAGCTTCTGTGTGCTGGCGAGCACCAAAAGCTCAGCCCAGGAGCCCTGAGAACGCGCGGCCAAGGGAAGGATCCCTGTGCACCAGGTCTTCCCCTGGCACCCAGTGGCAGTGCAGCCCATTGCCCATACCTCTCGGTGGGGAAACGGAGGCATTTCACACCAACGGGCAGCACAACCCCGAGCACCCATGGAGGGTGCACCAGGGACCTTGGGGGTGGCAGGAGCAAATGCCTCCCCTGGACGGTGACAGCGCGAGCTGTGGGTGTCCAGCTCTGCTTCACGGGTGCAAAGACTGGCAGGGGTGCAGGGCTCAGCCCGAACCCTTGCCCCCTGGGGCACACGGTCATGCTGGGGAGCTGCCACCCAGTTGGACCCCCCAAACGAACAGCACAGGGCAGAGCTGCCTTTATACGTGGCCATGAGCCGTGGTCTCCAACAATGATGGTGTGGGCCAGAAACAGGTGTCACCTTAATACCTTCCCAGGGAAAGCCAATTACTCCTGGATGATTATGATTAATAATTCTCTAAGCCCTAATTGCGCTGACACCGATGCCTGAAGCTTTATGCTGGGGGGCACTTTATAAGGGGTACCCTGTGAAGGTCAGTGTAGCCACTTCTCCTCGGGGTGACGGTGAAGGCTGAGAGGTGGCGGGACCCCCACTCCAGAGACGATCCGCCTGTGCTCGAAAAACACCGCCGAGTAAGAGGAACAGGCACCTCACGAACCACAGCCATGAACGGGACCGAAGGCCAAGACTTCTACGTGCCCATGTCCAACAAGACCGGGGTGGTGCGGAGCCCCTTCGAGTACCCCCAGTACTACCTGGCTGAGCCCTGGAAGTTCTCGGCGCTGGCTGCCTACATGTTCATGCTGATCCTGCTCGGCTTCCCCGTCAACTTCCTCACGCTCTACGTCACCATCCAACACAAGAAGCTCCGGACGCCTCTAAACTACATCCTTCTGAACCTGGCAGTCGCTGACCTCTTCATGGTCTTTGGAGGCTTCACGACCACCATGTACACTTCAATGAACGGGTACTTTGTCTTTGGAGTAACAGGGTGCTACATCGAAGGCTTCTTTGCTACGCTGGGCGGTAAGTTTTCCAAATATTCAAAAATCTTCTGCCAGGAATTGCCCCAGATTTTAGGAGCGGGAGGGAGGATGCTCACATGGTCTTGGAAAAAAACAGTATCTGGAAGGTCCTTGGTCTGCTGCTGATGTGGGTCGAGGCAGCTGCAGTGTTTCAGGATGGGAGATGAAGAAGGTGCCAAATGACACTTTTTTTTTTAACCTTATTTTGGTATCCACCTGCTCACTATCCTGAGAACAACAGTGCAGCAGTGAAAAGCAACCAGCAGCAGATTTTGCAGTTGTTGGATTTGCACGTCTTTTTGGCTTGCTTTCTGACTTGAGAGATGACAAATTGGTTCCTCCTGTTCGCGGGGCTGTTAGTCACTCTGATGCAGTGCGCGGTGGCACAGGCTGGCAGGGCTGGCTCTCCTCCCCGTGCCAGCCAGGCTTTGACCGAAACAGATGTTAAATAAAACTGTGTGCCTACAATCACCATCCTCTGTCCAGCTCTTCAGTCACAGGCAACTGGTTTTTTTTCATCCTTGTGGCACAAGTTTCCTGGGAAGCTGTGGGTAGCGAGGGAAAATCCTGGGATGATGGGCACTCAGTGCAGCTCCGAGCGGGCCCGCTGGCTGCCTGGCGCTGGTGCTGTCTGGTGTGAGAGGGCCAGGCGGGGATCCCA